AACAAGTCAAATAGGACACCCTAGGATCCTGCAACCTTTCAACAGCCTGGAGTTTTCCCACACACTTTTTTTCCATGTCTTTGGATCCTAAAGCTTTTGAACGCCGTCAGGCACAGGTCATGACAATCATGACCTGCATGTCAATCAGTCTTCTGCCCAAGTCCTTTCCGCAGATCCTTTGAGCTCTTCTTCAAGAGTTTCGGCTTGACACAGGCTTGGAACAAAACCGATCAGGCATTAACCTGAAAAAAATTGATCTGGATTCTGGTCATACTAGGTCACCACCGTGGATTTTGGCATGCTGCAAGATTGCTAAGATGCACCAACTGCAATCTGCGGAGGACATGTTTGCCTACCTCACAGGCTTTCAAATGATGCTCAGCTCCTCCTCAACAACGCTCGACAGCTTTGACTTGCAATGAGAAGATTGGTTCAAAATGCATGCGCCATGCCCAAGTATGCAAGGAGCTCTGAGCACCCTGCAGTTCCCTCTGGCCACATGGAGTTGGCGGGGTAGCTTGGTGAGCCAATGGGAACACCAGTTGGAACACCTGGACTTTCCCCATGCACCTTTCCATGCTTTTGGATCCTAAAGCTCTTGAAGGCCATCAGCACAGGTCATGACAATCATGACCCTGCATGTCAAAGACTCTGTTCACTGCCCTTCACCCACTTCTCGCCGCAACTTGTTCAAGGCCCTCTTCAAAATCGTTGAAAAGGGGCTGGGCGCGGACTTGGAACAGACCACACTCACCAGCGCAGACAAAGACATGCGCCGGAAGACGTTTCGGAGTCGATGCGGAACTGGACCAAAACCTGGATGAGCTGCGGTGTCGTGGAGTTGTCCAATGTTGTCCAAGTGTTTGGTCTTCGAAATGGACCGGCAGAAAGGGCTGAACCCACCTCTCGTACGACCACGGTGTGGCGTTTTGGACATTTCGACCCGTCACCACTTCGTGACACCAACGCCACACCGTGACCGGACCAGACCGGCAGCCTCGGGGCGCGACGTGTCCGTCTCGTCTTGACGTGTCCGTCTCGGGGACGCCGAGTCGCGCCGAGGAACCGGGACATCGGGTTTTCAAACCATCGTGGAGAAGCCTGGCCCTGTGCTCCCTGGAGAACCCGAGTTCTTGGGGGGAAAATCATGTTCGAGGATTTTCTGCTTTCCCCCCCACCGAAAACCCTCACCTGCCAAAGCCATCCTGGTGGTGATGGTTGTCTTGCGCAGGTCTAGCTCACGTTGGACCAGCTCCAGAAGATGGGCGGATCCAGGATGCAAAGCCACGCCCGTGGCCTTCTTGAGGTGTGGAAGCACAGCGTCCTCCAGGTCCGGTGTGGTGGGTCTAGTGGACCAACTGGTTCGGCTCAGGGGAACAAAAACATCTAGTTTTTGCGTTAAAGGTTCTCTGTTTTTCTAGTGTAAAGGTACTTCTGGTGCCATTCAGGGTATGACCTTGGTCGGGGTGCTCGCAGGTATGACTTTGGAGTTCAACAGCACTTGTGCTGAGTTTGTCCGATTTCACACATGGTGTGCTTGCTTCACGGAGGCTCTCAATGTAGCAGAGTAGTCTTGCCCTGTTACGAGCCTGGGTTGTGTAGGATGCTTGTGTAGAGATGCTTGTGTAGGATCCTGGGTTGTTGTCCTGGATTGTTACGCGCCAGTTCATTACAGTGTATATCTGCTTTGTCTTTCGGACGTTGCTTGCAATTTAGTGGGCAGTTTCATGTTCTTGCCGCGTGGGACAGCTCCGCTTTGCGGTAGAAAAAAGCACCCCTTGGCCACGGAAAAAAAGATCTTCAAGGCACTTGATGAGGTGGTCGCGTTTGTCGCATGCCTTTCCGTGTGAAACATGCCAAGGGTTCGGATCTCTCCGCCTTGAAAGGCGCCGCTTTGGCGAGTCGCGTTAAGGCCAGCCTTCGCCAGCCTTCGCGCCTTAACAAGGCAAGTGGACCGGCGGCTTAGAGGTTATGAACGAGGTGTTAAAGCCGCCCTCCTCTTCATCCCATGTCATGTCCATCCTCTTCATCTCATCCATCCCTTCGATTGCTATAATTGGTGTGCTTCTATGGTGCTTGGTCGGCTTGTTGGTTGGGCCTTACCTGGTTGGCGACACGTCATACATTATGAGGCAACCTTTGGTTGATTCAGCAACCAGCAACCACCAAGTGCCCAAAACCGCATGTAAAACATTCCGGAACAAATCAAAAAGCAGTGTCTGCTCGTGTTCAGTAGAGTCTGCTCAATAAACTCTGGGACACGGTGAACTCATATGCCGAAAAATACTGGTTGGAAGGGCCAAGAGTCCTTTAGAAGTTCATCTTCAGGGATTTCAAGGGATTTCATCTTCAGACTAGAATTTGTGTTACCTCGCTCAGTTCATCTTCTGACCACCTGTTTTCTCGGCGGTCTCTCTTTGAAAGCTGCACAAACCAAGTTCCGGTCTTGTCACATGATCCTATACACAAAAGACACAGGATGGTCAAAGGCTTTCTTGTTGATCTCCAAAGGTTCGAGCAACTTTGCCAAGGACCAGCTTGCGATCAAGGCCCGCTGCTGCGCGTCTAGGCTGGCTGGTCTGCCCACATGTAGTGAATGGCAAAACTTACAATCCGAACCCTGGCAGGGATTGAGACAAATAAAACGACATCACAAGGCATCAGGACTTTAAAACGAGATCAAGACTCAAGACTTCTTGTTTTTTCTGGAGGAATCCAACCAACCGTCTTGGATCATAATCCCTGCTTTCACTGAACCTGGCCGAGGTTGGTCAACCACCCTCCTGCTTACATGTTCCTCGAGCGAAGAGAATGAGATGTGAGGGTGTCCATGGCTGCCGATCGATGAGCCTGGGCCCGCTGGACAAAAAACGTGAAAAGGAGCCATTCCCACCGGTCTTCTTTTCGGAGCCCCTACTTGTGTTAGCTTCTTGTTCCTGGTAGTAAGGCCAGGAGCCCCTAGTAGCGTCCTTGCTCCTAGTAGTAGCGTCCAAGATACACCGGTCTTCTTTTCGCAAGACTGCTGCCTTAATCTCTTGAGGCTCAACTGGACCCGACCCAAGTTCTGATGTGATTGACCCGCCACGCATGTTCGGAGGCGATCGACCGGGAGACTGCCTGGCTCCAGAAACTCCAGCATCGGCTGCGCGGGGTCCTCCACCTTCTCCGAACGCTCCAGCAACTTCGATGCCTGGTTGGACAAACACCCCAGGTCCGGACCCCAGGTCCTCAGGTGGAGAAGAACAAGAAAATGCCATTGAACTTGACGCCTGAGAGTCCCATGACCCATCATACTCCGGCCTGGCAGGCCTAGGCCTGGTAGTGGTGGATGGACTTCCCAAAGTAGTTCATGAGTCCAAACGGAACTACCCCAAAGCACCCTGCGTGTTTGAGGTTTGACATGCTTTGAGAATGGCCAAGTTGGCCCCAGAGCAGCTAATAGGAAGTAGCTACATTTCTAGGTGTCCCACTCTCCCCAGATCCAGGCAGTTCGCATCAACTTTAGATCTAAAGTGGCTCTCCGCACCTGAAAGTGGCTCTTCCAATCGGCTCGACGGTCGACATGTGTGCATTTTGGACAGCTTTTGGATCGTCGAGTCTTGTCCTCGGTCCCTTCCACATCGATGAAGGTACGATGACTGCAGAACTTGGCCATTGCGTTGCGTTGGTCCCAGGAGCGAAGTGACACACCCCGTCGCAACAGTCACTTGGGCCCGACTTGACCTGGCGAACCCATTCCGAGGTGGTTCTCCGATTCCGCGGGGGGGTGCGTCGCAACGATCCGTTTCTTTTGTTTGGGGAAGTGGCGCCAGATGGCGCAATGGTGTAGACCTGGTGCATTTTAAAACCCCAAACCGATCTTAGTGGAACTCGTGAAGATTTTCGCCAGCGTCTGCTAGCTGCTGCTAGCTCCTAGCTCTGGGAATTCAATGTTGCTTGTGACCAATGGCATGAGAAGGTCTAGAGCCCAAACGAACTCGTCCCCAACAGGGCTAGGCAGGCTAGTGCTACATGTGGCTTGGATGGGTGAAGCAAGTGGAGCCAACAGTCTGAGTAGCCCAAGTCTCTCGTGTGGCAATTGCTTTTGCCATCTTTTGCCTCTTCTCCGCAGCGTCTTGACAAACGAACGAGACTGGCCCGGTCTCTTGCCGCGGCTGTTTCAAAGGCAACCTCTTCTGTTGGAAAAAGCCTCTGGAGTGGTCGAAACCCAGGCTGCAACATGATCATGTGTGTATAAAAAAGCTTTGGCTGCAAGCCGCACGCCCGGATACATGCCCATCGTGAAGCTTTACCATTTCACATATAGATAGAGGGTCCTTTGGGTATTATTTCGTTAGCGTATATGTGGGACAGCTATTTAAAACTTTGCTCACCTGCCTTGTTTTCTGCCTTGGGGGACCACATCCAGTTCTCTGGTGAAAGAATACTTTCGGCGCCTGTACTTATGGCATCTTTGGATAGGAAGTTGGAGCTTTTGGCCTCCCTCGTTGAAATCATGCTCAGCTCCTCCTCAACAACGTTTGACAGCTTTGACTTGCAATGAGAAGATTGGTTCAAAATGCCTGTGCCATGCCCAAGTATGCAAGGAGCTCTGAGCATCCTACAGTTCCCTCAGGCCACATGTTCATCACGTGGCACAGAGCTCTCCTTTTTTCCGTGGAACGGAATGGAGTCTGCAGGGAAATTATCTTGGTGAGCCAA